AAAAATTATCAAAAAGTACTATAAAAAGTGAAAAATAGTAAGAAAAGTTACTTTATTTTACTTTATTACTATTAAAAGTGATAAAAAGTTACTTTTGGTTCACTTTTCTTTTACATGGGAAATCAAATTCGTCTATCCAATTCCCCTTGGTCATCTCCAGTTATTATTCACAAGAAAAAAGATGGTGGTATTCAATTTTTGGTGGATTATCGAAAATTAAATTCGGTAAACAAAAAAGATTGTTTTCCTCAACCAACAACTGAGGAATTATTGCATCGATTAGGTGGTCATCGTTTTTATACAAAATTAGATCTTAAATCAGGTTATTTTCAGCTTTCTATACATGAAACAGATAAAGAAAAAACAGCTTTTATTACACAAGATGGTTTATGGGAGTTCAACGTTCTTCCACAGGGTATTATGAATGGGCCACCAAATTTTCAAAGAACAATGCACAATCTTCTTGGTTATGGCCGCTGGGATTATGTTATGGTTTATTTAGATGATATTTTGATATTTTCACGTACATTCAATGAACATTTACACCATTTAAACGAAATTCTGTCAATATTAGCTAAAGCCAACTTTCAAGTTAATCCTCATAAATGTTCCATTGCTGTTGAAGAAATCGATTTTCAAGCCATACAATCAATGAACAATGCATTAAACCTAATGGTGATAAAATTAAAACTATTGTCGATTTACCAACTCCAAAAACACTTAAAGAAGCAAATGAATTTTTAGGAAAAATTAATTGGTATCGAAAGTTTATTCCTAATTTTGCCCGTATAGCCGCGCCATTACACAAAGTTACCAACAAAACAAAACATCATCGACATGAATTTAAATGGGGACCTGATCAACAACAGCCATTTGATGACTTAAAACGTCTTCTGACAACATATCCATTATTTTTAGAATATCCAGATTTATCAACTCCATTTGTTTTTACAACTGATGCATCAAATATTGGAATAGGTGGAATTTTACGACAAGACACACCGAATGGCACAAAAATTAATTATTTTAAATCACGTATGTTAGATGATACTGAACGTAAATATGATACAATTGAACAAGAAGCATTAGCTATTTTTTGGTGTATATCTGAACTTCGATCATATATAGGTGATTCTGATTTTATTATCGAAACTGATCATAAACCACTTGAAAATTTTCATAAGAAACAAATCAATAATAAACGAGTAATGAATTGGCTTTTTAAATTACAAGATATGCTGCCACAAATTATTGCAGTCAAGCATCGTCCAGGTGCACATAACGCAGCTGCTGATTATATTTCACGCCACTTTCCACCAGCAACATCCACCAACATTTATCCATCTAGCACAGCTGTAACATATGATGATTGGCCAATTGGTACTGAACATTGGGATGAACAAGTGCCCAAGCCATAACGTACACAATGTACTCAACCATCTATTTTAGAACACACTTGTACTCGTAATGGGAGTATCAATGCAGAAATTAATGCTGTTACAACCAGAGCACAATCAAAACTTCAAGCTCAACCACATTCCTCTTCACCAAATGCATCATCCACATCAACTACATCTCAATCTACGTGTTCGTCTCCGCCGATCACTACTCCATTACATGATTTTAGTTTATCACGTATACGTTCTGAACAAGCACAGGACGTAATTATTCAACAAATAATTCAACAAATTAGAAATAATCGTCGCTATGAATCGTTTATTATTCAACATGGTATTCTGCATAAATTAGTTAGCCGCGATGATACTACTATTGAACTTGTTTATGCACCTTCGAAATTAATTCCTGAAATAATGACTGCTTATCATGATCATCCATTAAGTGGTCATTTTGGTACTGGACGTACATTGTCTATGCTAAGAAACACATATTATTGGCCACGTATGAAAGACACAGTAACATCTTATATTAAATCATGCGATAAATGTTCACAATTTAATGTAGATCGGCATAAACCTCCAGGATTCTTACAACCTATTAAACCACCTAATGAAGTTTTTCAAGTATTAGGTATGGATTGGTGGGGACCCACCATCACTTCGATTTCTGAAAATCGATATGTTTTACTTATAACTGATCGTTTATCTGGTTGTGTTTTTGCTAAAGCATCACCTACAAATACAGCTCATGATACTGCTCGTATATTAATGGAAGAAATTATCTTAATTCATGGTTCACCCGACACAATTATTACTGATCAAGGAACACACTTCAAGAACGAACTCTTACAAGCTATTTCACATTTAGTTGGTTGTAAACACATTTTTTCGACACCACATCATCCACAAACAAATTGACAAACTGAACGATGGAATTCGACATTCGTAACACAAATCGCCAAATATTGTAATACTGATCTAAACAATTGGTACACATTTTTACCATCCATCGTTTATGCTTACAATAATGGTATACATAGCTCAACCGGAATTAGTCCATATCAACTAGCATTCGGACGACGACAACGTCATCCATTTAATCCTCATGCAACTACATTCGTTTTCAGCAAACCACATGATTATTGGACGCAAGTGATACAGTACAGAAATACAGCTTTAAAACAAGCAAAACAACATATAATACATCAACAAGAACTATCAAAAACTCGTTTTGATAAAAATCGATCGCATCCGAATTTCATTCTAGGTGAACTTGTGTGGATGAAAGTTTTTGTTGGACGACACAAACTTAAAGCTCGATACACTGGTCCGGTTCGAATCATTCGAATTCTCTCACCCCTATCATTCATAGTTGAAGATGAACTTTTACAACAATTTCAAGTACATTCAAACGATATTAGACGTGTATATTCTCGTGAATCATTCCAGACGTGATACAATTTTTCTAACGAAATTCACCTGCTTGCATCGAATACTTACACGGCTTTTTTTATTAATCTTCTCTTATCTTGTTTTTCTCAACGTTTCTTTAATTTCATATCAACAATGCCTCAGCTATTTTTTTTTACATTTTCTTTTTCAGATACTTCTCTTTTATAGTTCACTGTTACATTGCATCATTTTTCCAATACCATACATTCCTATGGCTGCTTTCCACTTTTCTCATGTTCATTATGATATTGATCAAAGTGAAGTATCTAATGCTTTTCGTTTCTTTTACTATTGCTATGTTCTTTTGTTTTTTTTTCTCTCTTCTCGTCTTACTCCCATTGTTCAAAATCGTATTTTATCTTTTATGTTGTAACTTTTCTGGAGGGGGGAAGTGTTATGTCAGTAGAGACATCTCCTGACATAAGAAGGCCCTCTTTATCCCTCTATCATACTCATGCGATGGAACCGACTGGTGGAAGAGAGAGATAGAGAAAGAGGAGGTTGTTTCTTTTGTTTGATGTGATTCAGTTGTTTGTTTTCGTGAAGAAAGAAGGAATAAAGAAACGGGGAAAAACAGGACCTAACAATACTATAATTTATGATTGATATGGGATAAACCGTGCATATTTGTATTATAGGCCACGAGCAATTAGCACATTATTCTTAAGGTCATCTGAATTTAGCCTTTATAGCTTCAGTCTGTATTATGATTAGCAAAGACTTATTCAGGTTTTTTTGTTTTCTTCGACATGTCTGTTATAGCATTGACTACAGTTTATTCTAGAGAAAACGATTCTCTGTTTTCCATTTTTCATATGAGCCTGTACCAGGTGTAGGATAAATTATAGTACCGAAAGAATTGTTAGTTTTATGTTGATTTTAATGAGCTTGTTCGGGGTTTGCTATGAGCTCTAAACAATAAAAAACTTATCCATTTTTTTCTTATATTCAGCGTGTTCCTCAGAAATGTGAACACGATCTATGCTACGTCGAAAATGACTTTTTTATTTATCTATATTTCTGAAATGAGCGTGCATAACAATTATATTATAAATAATCGTTAATTTATAATTAATTATGTTTTTTCTATTTAAAATGAGTATCTGCAAGATGTAGTAGAAATCATGATGAACAGACAACTATTGATTTTAATGTTAGTTCAAATCACCTTGTCCATATTTACATTGAAAATTACTATAAAAAAAAATTACTTTTCATTATAAGTCAAGAGATATTAAAAATATGTTTTCTCTTATGTTACTCAAAACAAAGGTTACTATTCTTCTGTTACAAATTACGAACGTCGTCGAATTATTTCATTTATCATATTTACAATGAGACTCTATAAGATAAACACGAACTTTGATAAATGAGATATTATTAGTTTCCTCGTGAGTGTGGGGTGTGGATGTCATCTTCATCTTGATTGAAACCCACACACCCACACCCTGATTATACGTATGTATTTGATTTGACTGAGTCTCTCTTACCTTACAATGATACTCTCCCTAATAATATGATATTTCAATGCTTTTTCTACGCAACCGACAATCGAAATATGGTCATGTCAATCTAAAAGGATAGGCAATTCGAAATGTTTTTTTATATTCTTTGCACAATTTATATTACACGATTTGATACAGTTTTTAAGCAAAGTTTTGGAAATATTAGATTAATGATGAAGAAATGCTTGAAGTTCCATTTGATTTATTTGAAGGCATGCGTTAGTTTTTTTATCGTAAAATCTAACATCACCTTGGAAACTGCTTCCAAGTTGTTGTTTGAAGAATACTCCTTCGAAAAAGATCCAATCAGCGTTTTGTTTTCCATTGTAAATACGTAATTCGAACGACCACCATTCTTTACTTTTAGAACAAAAATAAATAAATAAACGCATTTCAACACCATGTTCAAATCAAATAACCTCAAGAGTGGTGCAGTTTGCGTCGCCTGGATCACTTTGAACACCATTGCCTTCATATGCATACGCAGGAGGATTTTGGAAAATCTTACCATTAGCATTAATAGTCATGTTTGCAGCTTTCAAAAGCACTGTTTCAGTTTTCCAATGCACACGAGTTGGCACTGTTTCATCAAGAATATTTTTTCGGTGCTTAAGCCATATACAAGATAAAATTAACATACGGCACGGCCAGCCATCGGTCCCCTTCGTTGGGGAAGGTTCGAAACCAGTAAGATTCAGAAAAAAAATTTGTTATAGAGAGTGTGATCTTGGAATATTATTAAGTTTGTTCCGTATTCCGAGTTACACAGCTGACACATAAAACCAATATCATTTTTCTTTCTTACGAGTTTAAAAACACGAATAATTACGAAATTTCACTGTTTTTTCACTTTTTAACCTTTCATTTTTGTCAAAATAATGAATGGAATTTTCAATGAAATTTTCAAAAGAAGATGAAAATGA